GTGCCAACCCTGGCTGGGCAGACCTATGCTACTCCAAAGGTAGACTATGGTTAGCCACACCTCCTGTTCCTGTGCTGCAGACTCTGCTGGCCCCTTCAATGGGGACGGAAAATTTTTTCCTTCCAGGAAGCGAGCTGCTTCGGCTGCTCTGAGTGTACACTGAACAAGTATGTGTTTCCAGCCCTGCTCGGGCAGCAGGGAGCAGCCTGTAAAGGACAAACTGCTGCCTGCTCTTCTGCACACACTTCGTCCTGCACTTGTGGAGCTCAACTGCATGTTCAGTGTTCATCAGCTGTGTGCACAGGGGAGCAGGACACACAAAAATGCTACGCCTCTGTAGAAAGGTGAAGGGCCTTACGTGAAACAGTGGTTGGTGAATTAAGATGCAGTAAACCAATGTTTTGGAAAAGGAGTGTTTGCATCTAACACCTCCAAGCCTTATCTCATGCATGACATGCCTGGGATGGCTCTTCTGTGGCAGTAATAATTTCTGGTGACATGTAAAGCCCCCTTCCCCACCCCACTGCCCCCTCTGCTCTACAGGGGTCTATCTACTCAAAGGAAGACTTTGAGCAAGGAAGGGGGAGCAGAGTCTTTCCCCAGCTGCCCACCTTAAAGCCTTTTGTGAAGGTGACCAGCCTTTGAAGACCCAACTCTACTTTTTTGGTACTGTGATGTTGGTTCTTTTTTAGTACTGAGATATAAATCTGTGAGGATCTTCAACCCATGAGAAACAAAAGAACTAAACCCAGATGAGACTGAGAAGAGCACCAGACTTGGCCAGGACGGTGATGCCTTTCATGGAAAGGACACTGTGTGGGTAGAGAGAGCATTGTTTCTGTTTCCACGAGCAATTACAAAAGTTGGACTAAAGACCATTCACCTGCTGCTGAACGTGGCCACAGGTGCAATGAGGTAGCCTTTTATTCAGGAATATCATGGTCATGCCTCTCTGTTCCTTGCCGTGGCCCAGACTCTTCTGTGGTTACAACTTGGTCAGCCTTACAAAACACCAACTCCAGCACACAAGGTAAGTATGGAATTTTGTTTTCTTTCGCATATTATGTACTACTGAAATGCAACATTCAGGCTCATTCGGGTAACAAAGAGGAAGACATTCAAAACTGACCATAAAAATAAAACGTAGAAAGCAGATTTTATAGGACAATACACATGCAGCTTGCAAGAGAATAAAGACAGTGAACAGGTATTAAAACACATTTCCATACAGAGACAGCTTATGCAGCAATTTACAAGTTTAACCTCTGGCCGGAGTATACAAGCCCTTTAAAGCTGGCATTCAAATTACCACTAGTTTAATCAGCCATACTTAGTTTAAGTACATAGCAAAATTTAACTTAATGTTTACATTCACTAGCCATCCAATCCAGCATCAAGGCACTTTCCTTGTTGGTACATCTGTTCCTGTGTCGCACACCTCCGCTCACCTAGATGCATATATTGGCACAGCAAACTGGGTGACCAGTAACTTCTTATCCCCAAATAAAAGCAGTTGGTTACTAGACAATCCCTGGCTGTATCAAAGTGTCAGGCTATATGTGACACTGTAAACAAAACTGGTGTGTTAAAAAAAAACCATGGCAAGTTGACTGGATCCATTGACAAATGTGCTTTGATGATGAAAAGTGATAGGTGTTACCAGTTTCACACTGCAGAGAATGCCCATCTGCCACGCCTGTGATCCCAGAGAAGAACAGCTGACACTTTAGTCTGAGCAGGAGGATGTGGAGCTTTCCAGCCATCAGTCAACAGTTGTGCCATAAGTGTTTTTCATCTATTGTTACAGAAGTGTGCTTCTGCAGAGTAGCAATGACATTATTGCATATATCCCCTTCAGGTTGTCTTTGCAAATAAATACAAGCACTGGCTAAGGCTGCATTTTGGGAGGTACTTGCTGCCCACCCTCTCTCTGCACTACAGTTAAGAGGCAGAGAAGCAGACAATTGCTGAAATCTGGCCCTTCATTATCATTTTTAGGTTTGTTTTATCAAATCTTGTGGCCTTAGAAATGCATCCTTGTGCATTAAGTCAGCACTGCTTTTATTTTCAAGAATGGCTCAGATTGCACAAGTCCTACAAAGGAAACAACAGTGAAAGCAAATACACATAATTTTTAGCTTTTTTTGTTTGTTTTACTGATGCTTTAATTTTAAAGGAAGAGAAATGGAAATTCTTGAGTCTAATACAAGATACTTAATTTCAACCTCCTCCAGACTTTTGTACTTATACCTCCACTTTACTGCAGTTTTCTGGATCAAAAGCAAAGTGAAGACTCGGGTTGGCTGCAATTCCCTAACAGCTGTTTCATGACAGAAGACTCAACGTTTTTAGATAAACTTCTTCTGTATAACATTATAAGTGACTCCTGGAATTTAAAATTACTATATGTATCCATCCTTGCAGACAGACAAGAGGCTACGGGGTTTAATGAACTCTTACAGTCCATCAGTCAAGAAAACTTTTTAACACAGTTAAAGCAAGGCATTCAAATAACAGTTAATCTCAACTACAACCACAGTCTAATGGGGAAAATGAACTCGTGTATTTAGTCCCATTTAAAGCACATAAATTACAATGTAAAATGTGCCTGTCCAGGAGTGGGGCAGACTATTAACAATCTGTCAGTCTTTGGAGTTTCTGATCCCACTTACAAGTCAATTCCTTAGCAGCATACACTGATGAGGATCTTGGGTATCTGAGACCTGGCTCTAATTAAAGAATTATTTAATTTAAATAAGCATGATGATCCCCACATACTGGGAATGTTGATGCATGTTTTAACCACCTGACAGAGCTCGTGATTTACAAAGCTGAAGCTCCCACCCGGCTGACAGGGCTTCTCCAGAGACCAAGAATAGAACTCAGCCCTAGCATGCATACTCCCTCATCCTCCCATGGCCAATGTTTTTTGCAGTTTTTACTAGGCTTCTGTACCAGACAAGCACATACTTGTCATAAACTCTCCCGAACAAAGTGTAAAAAAATTTTTCCTCTGCTGTGCTTGTCCTGCCACATTAAGGCATAACAGGAAGCTTAATTTAGCAGGTATGAAACAATCCTAAGACTTTCATTATAGCAGGAGAGGATATTCCTAGACAATCTGCCCTTAAAGTGAGACAACATACTCCAGAAAACAGTATCAATGATCTCCTGGTCTAACAGAACCACCATAATACTACTACAAAGGTAATATATTTACTTCTCTTGTAAACAGAGCATTAACCAGTCTGTGTTTAAGAGGTTTTCCAAATATGCTTCAAATATATTTCTACTAGCTTCCCTTCCCCACCACCAAATTAACAGGCCTTACAGCTATTCCACCTGTACCTGAAGAATTCCAGTCCAGGAAATCAAGATGGACATGAAAGTGTCTATAACTGAAATGTGACTTTAATAATGCCTTTATTTTGTTACATGCACCAACAGCCACTGGTGAAGGGGGGGGGGGGGGGGTGGTGTGCGTGTGGAGGAGGGAGAAAACTTTTTCTTTAAATACCATGTAGGGCCAAGCTCAGAAAATTTCAGTGGATTGCTATAATTACACTGCAGATACTCTTAAAAACCTGAATGCGACTGTTTGATACAATTAGATTTTTACAATCCAAAGTAGAAAATCTTGTTAAACCCTGAACACTGCATGATATATTTGGCACGTAGGTTTATGAACTAGCTGTAAATATGTTACTTATATGTATTGTGGCTTCTATAAGCTGTTCAACCACCAGGAGCTCCTGCTTAGTCTTTAATATTTTAGCCCTAGATAATGCACCGTCTCAAAAGAGAGCATGTCATTGCCAGCCAACCAGAACTTTCTCTAGGACCCACTCAATTCCTTTAATTTTATACTACTGGCCCATAAGCAACAATGAAAGATGCCAGAAATGACAGGCCAGAACTCCTGTTAGCACAGACTTTAAAGACCAGAATCTCTTGCTGCTGTTTAACATCAGTTAAGTCTTCAATGGTACATGATTAACAGCAACTGAGAAGAAAATGCCTTTCCTTTACAGAAAGTCAAGTTGCCACTTAAGGAACACCTGATATTCTCCCTCAAATAACATATGCTACCAAAAGTTAGTATTACTAAATCACAAAAACATAATTTAAAAGAATCATCAACATAGCTTTGAAAACATCCAGACCTTTGCAGCTCTGTTTAGACTACCGTCCTAGACTTTATGATGCTTGTATCCCCAGCTGTCTGTCCTGTTTTAAGTTCTGCACCTTTAAGGCAGGTTCCAGAAGCGAAGGGGGACACGAAGCCGCGGCTCCCCCGCATTCTCTCTCGCTGTGCAGGAGACAGCTCTCCTTCCTTGGCTTTTAGATAGCTTTTACCTGGCTGAGGCAGTGAAGTTCCCCAGACTGTGGCTTTTCTTTTTCTTGGAACTGATCAACCCTGCTTTGGACCGAAAACCCAGCAAACAGCGGGAGCCCACGTGTGGCCCAGTGGGGCCGGGATGTGGCATTTTCCACAACAAGGGTTTTCTGAATTTGCCATCTCTTCAGAACAGCGAGAGGTTCCATTGTTTAATGTTACTCTTTTTCTCATGTTTGTAAGTACTTTGCTTGTTAAATAAACAAGTTTTTTTCCACATTTCTCCAAGGAAATATTTTCCCAAACCAGTAGGGGAAGGAGCTGCTTTCTAGAGAGACCCCTTTGGAAGTTTCCTCCCAAATTTGCCCTAAACCAGGAAAACTACGCAGCTAGGTACAATATTTCAGAGATGAGAAGATGGATTAAATGCATGTGGCTGCTGGGCAGTTCTAATAAGCAAGCACACTGCTCAACAGAGACTTTCCCTTTTACTTGTGGTTTCTTCACAGTAGTTACTGTGAAGTTTGCATAGAGAAGATAACTCATCCCCCAGTAAAATAACTGCTTTTCCAAGAGGAATGTGTTCTGAAAAAGGAATGCTCCTTCAACCTCTGAAAAATGAAAGGTGGTCTCTGCTGTCCTGTAACAGCACTTTTTCACTATGCCTTTGCCCTCTGGGAGGGAGTTTGAAGGTGCTGAGGTGCAGTAGGATGAAAAGGAAAAGGACTGGTCTGAAGAAAGCTGTAATTATAATTAGCTGCAACATAACCTTTTAATTTAAAAAATGTGCCTACATACAGAAAAATACTGTCAGAAGAAAAGAACTGTGGAATACTGAAATGTTGTTAAAGATTCTGCATTCTTTATCTGTTTTAAATTATTCCAAACTTCAAGAGATAATCTTACGAATTTACTCTTGCACTTAATTTCTTGATAACAAAATCAGAAGACACATGTAGACATTTACATGTATACCCATCCTTCCACACAAGCTGGCAGAACAAGGGAAGATGAAATGATACTGACACAGGCCTTTCAAGGGCTTTTAGCAACTGCTTTGCAGAACAGCAGTACCAGAGGTCACAGCACAAAAGGTTTCAGGTGGTTTTAAATACATAGCTATTTTGCTGAAGGAGAAATAAAACACTTGTTTTAGTCTCACAAAACAGCATTTAGTGTTTTGAAATAGAGTTTAATTAGTGTCAGATTAGAAAGCTGACTAGCCTATATTAGATTTAAAGTTAATTAAAAAAAAAATCTTTAAGAGTGCCATAAAACTTCTGGTTATCACTGGAGAAGGGGTTTCTTGTCACGTAATTTAATTTTTGCTTAAACACTGGTAGAAGAAGTCTCCAAGAAATGTAGCTTCCTCAAAAAAGTGTAAACTGTATGAGCAGGGAAAAAGTGAGACATTAAGAAAAAGGTAAGGAATTTTAAAAACCACTGAAGTGTGTTTTGTGGCTCACGATTACTAATAGATATGAACTATCACCAAAGTTCAAATTCAGAGTACAGGTTTTGGTTTTAGTTCCAAGAGCATCAATGACTTCAATGCTTTGGCTGCTTTCATTTTCAAGTCCTGCAGTATTAGCAGCGAGGTTACAGCACACTAATACCTACAGTCTGTCAGGAGGAAAGTTGTATTTCCTTTCTCCTGAGCACTCAGAAAAAAGGTAAAAGCTCACAGCTTGTTACTTGAGCTGTACACAGCAAAGTGTACTAAACAAAGGCTTACATGACCACAGAACTTTAATTATATAAAACTTAAACAGAAATAGTGATAGCCTTTAACTGCTGATCTGTGTTGGCATCTGATTTCCAAACTTTTGAATATGAGACTGAATTGCTGTGTGTCAAGTTGCAAGGCACATTTTTTAGGCCAAATTACTCTATAGTTCATGTGTACATATATCTAAATGTAGGTAAAGTATCAATTACTATAGTAGCATTCAGATTCAAGCAATCTTGGTGTTTTCCTATTTGTACACCATAGCAAGTTATATTTAATTTTTATGGTTTTTAAACAGGAACGAACATTATTTGCAGGTCTGGGAAGCTGAAAATTGAGGCAGTGGGCCAAGTCAAAATTCAGTAAGTCAATTAAGTTATTGAAAAGTATATCACACAAGTATTCTTCCATGTCAGAAAACTGAGTTTCAGTCTTACTTTTGCACAAAGCTGCACTGTGCAACTAGAGCTGGCTTTTTAGGCTTGTACACTGCCACGCATCAAAGTGTTTCTTCTGGGAGGTCTATTGGCTGATGTGAATATTTAAAACTTGACCTTTTCAGTCATGTGAAATTCTGTTATGAAGAGACACAAAATGCCCAATGTAGCACAAAGGCTCGTTCAGCTATCCAGATGTAAGGTTTTATGTAGTGCATAAAAGTAAATCTCCAGTAGGTCTGGACTGGAAATTTTCCACAAAAACAGTCCTTATTGTATTTTGTCAAATTACTCTTCGCTCAATTTCAGTTTTTCAATCTGCAGTAAGATAAAAATACCTAGCTTACTTTATCAGAAACACAGGGGAAGATGTGAACAGGCACTAATGAAGGCCTAAACACAGCCAGTCTTCTCTCTCACTGAGGCATATAGCCCCCTTGTCTCACAGTCTGTGGGAGGTAACTTTTTGGCATTTCATCAACTGACAGTGGATTTTCTTCCACTGTTTCAGGTCTCACAGTCTGTCCTTCAGTATATGTCTGTAAAACATTTGATAGAGCAGCCTCCTGGGTATTTTTTTCCATCCCAAGGCCCAATGGCTGTGAACTCTGACCTGAGATCTGCAGTTGAACAAATCCAGCAAGATCTCCCTCATTAGCATGAGTAATCTGCTTTGTTCTTTCAAAGCACGGCCTGTCTGTGTTGATTTCATCCTGACCACCATTTTGTCTGAAATACTGCTGCCTCTGTGCTGGACTGTCAGCTCCTCCAGCATGATCCTCTGGTCTCTCTTCTGAATCTAGCAGTGGCTGAGTTGACTCAGACCTTGAAAAGACTTGTACAGGTGTCTGGTCTCTGTAGCCATTAAGCACTACAGTTGAATACTGTACAGTGCTTGATGTGTTCTGTGTCGTTTCACCTTCATCACTGTCAGACACGCTTTGCCTAGGAGAAGACATGCACGAGGATCCTCCAATACCACTGCTGTGCCCTTCTGAAGTAGTCTTTTCTTTTTTAAGCAAGTCAAAGGGTTTTAGATCTTGTTCTGAAAAAGACTTCTTGTCGTCAGCTTCTATTTCTACAACGCTTACATCTGTAAAGCTGCCTTCTGGGTACATCTGATCTTTGGAATTAAAGTTATGCTGAAAGAAAGAAATGCATGTTGCCTAAGAGGAAGGTTATGTTAAAAATCAAAAGCCTCCATAAATATATGAATTTTTATTCATAATGCCTTTGAATTTCTTCATGTAAGTTTTCTCTTTACTGAGTCTGGCAATATCTCCAAATCACGTGTGAAAAAATGAAGGATACAGCTTTGTTTCCAATACAGACTCTAAATTATGCAGCTATTCTAAAATCATAGTGGATGTGTGAGCAAGTCTTTGCTCTCATTTCAATTATTCTTAAGAGTGGTATAACATAGAAGCATTTGCTGTGTAGCACAGGAGCTTCTATACTGAGAATCATACATTATTTCAAATAATGTACTCAACATCAGAATACTTCTTCACAGAAATGAGCCACAATTTGTTGAACAGAATGGTCTGGTCATTCACCCCACATGTGGCATAAATTTTGCTGCCATCTTCTCATTCATGAGAAACTGTTTATAGTCTTCTCTCTCATTCATGACTGAATTGTGCAGACAAGACTTCAAGGATTTAAGGATGGGAATCATGAATGGTTCCTTAAAGCTTATCTCCCATGGATGAGCAAAGAAATCAGTACTTGCCCCTTCCAACTAGTAAACCGAATCTAACTCACAACTTTAAAGCCCATGCTAGACTCTGTATTTGTGCTAAGAGCCTTGTAAATCTAATGCTGAATCTACAGATGCAATAAAGTCTACCCATATTGCATCACAATGTCAGTGAAACTCAGTATTCAGGTTTTTCCTTGAAATCCATCTGTGCTAGAAGACAGAAGACTCCCACTGGTTAGTTTATCTGAAACCCTGCAGACTAGGAAGAAACAGGATGCAGAAAGGTGAGTATTACCTTAGCTGGAACTTGAGGAGACCACTGAGCAATGTTACTCTTGGATGGATCAGGTACAATAGGCCAGATATGCTTTTTAATTCTGTAAAGGATTAAAAATGCAATGAAGTAATAAGATGCACTCCCCAAATTCCCTGTTCATAGCAACTACAGCAGAATCCAGGACACCACTCCCTTACATAGAAATTTTGCATTCCAAGTAAGAACGCTTTCTGGGCTACTTTTCATCTTTGTATGAGGCTGTATTACTTAGCAAAACACAGCACTGCACTTAACTCCTCCACACATTAGATGCAACTATCAATGTAACACAAAACAACAAATGGTAACAGCGAGAGATTTTGAAATTTATAGCACTCTAGAATGTACAGAGCTATTACTTAGGTAGTTTATGACACATGCCAGTATAAAAATATAATCCTGCTTATTTTTAATGTAACTATGAATACCAGAGGTCAAAATTTAAGCTAACTTCACAACTAAAAATAAAATATTTGGAAGATAAGCTTGTTTTTTAACTCTTAAGAATGTCCTGTTACTTAAAACCAGAAGCTTCTGTTGATACATCGCCCCCAACCAAGCCACCTTTGAAACTGATATACCTATCTTGCTCTTTATGAACAGGCTCCCACAACAGATGCTCTGTAGGAGAACTCTGAAGAACAATTCAAGATGGGCTTTCCAACTGATGACCATTAAGAACTAATTTTAGGAGCAGCAGGGAGATCAGAAGGAAAAGGGCATAAATGCTGTCTTTAACAAGAAAGGACAATTGACAGGGGACATAGGAGACATGCTATGCCTTGCCAGGAGAAACACTAGCAGTGACATCTTGGTTAAAACCACAGACAAGAGCTTTGGGGTGGGGGAGCAGGAGGACGCAGGCTGCTTCCCAGCAGTCAGTAAACAGGCAGAGAGTTACGGGAGATCATGATGTCCTAATTTTTTTTTTTTTGCCATAAAGCTTAACATTTATTAAGGTTGTAATTAAATAGCCCAAATAAATTACTGCTGCTTCTGTTATGCTCAGAAATATAAGAGGAAGAGTTCATTTATACTTACAGGTCACGTTTGTTGAAGCAAAACAGAACTCCAAGGAGCACAATCAACAGGAATGCTAGACACACAGGTACAACTATGGCTTCAATTTCTCCTTTTCCTGAAGGAGGTGAAAAGAAGCAGTTATAGCCCACTTTGGCATCTAAGGAACTCAGTTCCTTAACAGCCATACATATTTCCAAAAGGTAAGAGAGAACCTGAGACTGAAATACCTCAATGCTCAAAGTCTCAAATCTTCACATTCACATTCAGAAGAACCTGTTCACCATATGAAAAGTGCGTCCCGGTAAAAACATGAAAAGCTTTGTCCTGACAATCTAGTGCCTTGCATCAACCCAATTCTGGGTTGATCTAGAGGCTGTAGTACCGGCAGAGCAAATAATTTTGTAGTTTGGGCAGGTATGACAGTAACCTCTGTCAATTCACCACTGCTCAGGTGTTTCAGTACCCAGTGGCTGTCATAACAGTCAAATAAGTAAAGTAAACAAAGTCACTACTCATCCATCAGTTTACTCTGTACATGCAGATCTCTCCCTGCAAACACCAAAGTTTGCATTATTGTTATGTATTCCTTCCAGTGTTATACACATTCTTAAGTAAACCTTGAAGAATGCTTATACAGAAAATAAGTCTCCGCTAAATTTAAGCGTCTTCCACTGTTAAATTCAGTAAATTCAGTAATGTTGCTGTTACCCCTACATATAAGAAGCACTCTAAAGCTGAACATACAATAAATTTAACTATTCAAAATGAGTCTCTGTAAAGAACTGTAGAAAGCTTTCATAGTGATATGAAAGAACATGGAAAGGCTCTGAGAATGATGTATGCTGACTGGTCCTTACATCAGCAGATCAAGATACAAACACACATCTCCACAGCTTCTTCAGCACACCTTATCAGGATTAAAACAAACACTCTGACTAGGGCTAAGGTGCCACTGGGCACTGAAAGAGACGAGGGCACTTTGTAAATCCTAATGACTCATGTAAGGTCAGGGCAAAACATTGTAACCTGAAGTATACATAAAACACATCCAAAACAACATGCTTAAAAACATAAAAAGTGCAATTCGTGAGGTTTTCAGAGGCTATCTTATTCTCTCTAATCAGAAAAATCCTGACTCAACTACCTCTTAGTGAAAGAGCACTAGACAAGCCACCCAGGTATCATGAACTTTGCAAATTGACTGCAATTTGAAAAAAACTGAAACTTTAAACTAAGATCACCTTCCCCTTCTAACACATTTTTCACAGAGCCCTGCCATAATGTTGCAAAATTAATTCCTACTTCTACCCATTGTGCCACTCTGCCTTACCAAATTTTTGCGTAGTAAATGTGAAATCAGGACCGGTTCTGCTCCCATTATCTGTGGATGCCATCATACGCACAGTATATAGGGTGTCACTGGTTAGAGAGGAAAGGGTATACTCTGTCTTGGAAGGATCCACTGTCACAACTAAAGAGAAGAAGAAATTCATACTAGTTTTCTACAAACTACAAACAAATTACATGTCCACAAAAACAGCGACTTTAAGACATCAAGACTTCAGATATGAGAGGTAGTTTTAATAGAATGCATAGCAGACAGAAAATACAACAGTCAAAGACTACAAACTCGTATGTTTGTAGAAATGCTGAGTTTTTTGTTTCTGTTTAGGTTTCTGAATTTAGTCTCGTTCTGTATTTAATTGCCTGTGAGATTTTTTTCCCCCCCTAGAATACACCTACAGACTAGATTATAGTATAGTAGTATAATTGAGGCTTAAAGTCTGTCTAGTAAGCCAAATACATAGCACTAACGAGGACCTGTTAGTACTGGCTAGAAAAAAAAATCAAGGTAAGGAATAGTAAGACACAGGTATGCATAAGTACCTACCCCTTCCAATTTAAGCAAAACTAAAATTTAAAGTTTTGATAGTGCCAGATTCCTGTAGTATACCTGCAGGTCATACACACTACTGAGAACTAAGATGCATTTCAAACAAGATGATCTACATCAGTACTGTATTGATCTACAGCTCCAGGAGGATTAAAAGACTCCTCCCCATTCTTTTCTTAAGGTTTTATCATAGTTAAAAGCAGCCAACTCCATTTGTATCTTGAATGGTCTGCTATCATCTTGATACACTATCATGTCATTCTGTATTTAGACAGCAATATGGGAGCACAATACTCACGAATCAGCTTTCAGAAACTAAACTCAGTACCCTGCTATATACAGGCTGAATGTTCTGAATTCTTTAGTAGGGACTTTCTGTTCTGTATGGAGGAGAATTACGGCTCAGACACCAGCTTTACATTCTCAGAACAGACTGTCAGCTATAACTGATTCTGTTTATTTTTTCAGGAACAAATATTAGGAAGGAGACAGATGAAACACTTCAATGCCACGAAACACTTCTGTTTTCTGGTACCTGTTTCATTTCCATCAATGGTTTTATAAAGTATGGTGTAATTTCGGATAAATCCATTTTGTTCCTCAACTGTGAGATGGTTCCACGTCAAAACAGCTTCAGCTTTTCCTACTTTTTTTGTCTGAACAGTAGGTCCTTTCGAAGGACCTGTAATGGGAGATGAAGATTAGTTTCTGACTGGCAACGTTGCATTCACAGAAGCAGCATATGAACAAGCATTGAACTGTTACAGCACAAAAACTTCAATGGAATAGTTTGACTAACTCATCTGGAAAGCACTGTTTTCAAACATAGAAACTACAAAGATGTTTTCAAAAAGAAACATTCAGGAAGAGATATGAGAAGGAAAATCAGCACATTGCAGGAAATCATCAAATGAACTTAAGTCTTGATTTCACACCTGAAATTTAAAATATATGAGCATATAAATATCACTACTGTAAATAATATATATACTATATCACTAAAATAACAAATTCATGTCTAATGAAAGGTTGGAAAAACAAATAACCAGCCATAGCCAGCCATCTATCTAGTTCACAAACACTGTAAAAAAAGAAGAATGGGTGATAATAGAAGGGAAAAGATCAATGATGTCACCTGACCCTTAAGGGTAAAACAATTTTTCATTACACAGTCCACATTAAAGCAAAGGTTTCTTTATTTTTTGTCAAAAAAGGGTCAGTGTACATGCTTCAAAGTGATGACTTTATACTTACGATCTTGCTTAAGATAAGCCTTCACAGACTGTCCACTTCCTTGACCATCAGCATACAGAGGGTACACAGTTATCAAGTAACACTTGAAAGGCTTTATACCTAATAAAAGTAATTTAAAAGATGTTGTTTCACAGATGGTCAAATTGCTCACCATCCTTCTCATTTACTTCAGATACAGGCTTCTGAGTTTTTGCTGTTTAACTACGTGCACTTGTACCTAACGCAGCTAAGTATTTTCTAGACGTCATTGATACACTGCTCCAAAATATTAACTAAAGGAACAATACTGCTACAAATTATTATCTACAGGAACAATATAATGGTTCACATTCAAATGTAAAATTTAATAAGTAGACTTCGAAGAAGTCAGGGTTTTTTTCTAATTTATTTTAAATAGAAAGCCTTTATTTGTCTGTAGCATTAACTCCCCTAATTACTGATTTCAGATACTGATCGTAAGCTCTAAAGAACAATAAAGCTGATCAAGTTTGACTGTTTGAATTGAGTAATCAAAGAATTTGATTTTGAAAGAACTCAGCCTTTTCACTATTTTAATGATTTCCAAGAATGACAATACTAAAACCAAAATGAAGATAAACCTCTTGTTGTTACATTATAGAAATTTCAAAATGTAAGATCCGATACGGTTGTATATTTGACAAAAATAGACAAATACTTCCATACACTCACAATAAACTAATTGAAACCCTCAGCATGAAGCCTCTCTACTATAAAATTCTAATCACCATGAGGATGCTTCTCATCTTCAGAATACTAAGTAGGTTTTTAGAGTGTCCTACAAAGTATATGTAGATTTATGAGCTAAATACCTTTTAATTCGACACCTTGAACATCTCCTAGTGCAATCTGCCATTCTATGATGCAGTCTGAGCTGCTGGACACCAGACACCATTCAATCACATATTTAAGAACATAACCGTTAGGAGCAGTCCACCCTACCCACAACTTGTCATGTTTAGGTAATGTTCTAAGATTCTTCACAGGAGCTGTAATGAAAGAAAAGAGAAAAATGATCAATATTGGCAGTTCTTTCATGATAGGAGCTGTTATGGCAAATGCTGATACTTTTGGGTAATGGTAGCAATTTGACAGAACCAAAGTAAATGTAAATACCATTTTCTGAAATTTGGAGGTTTATACATGGATCTTTGTATCAGAGCTCCAAATGAAGTATCAGGCTATTTAAAAACTGGAAGTTGAGTCTAACTTCTCTATTCTCATAGACACTGTATTTCTTTCTTCAAAAAAAGGTTTCATTTCAAGAGAGAAAACAGACTTAGAATGGAAATTTACAAGTATATCAGTTACACTCAAGTACCATACTAAGTACTCATACTTTATGTACAGCATGTATATACATGAGTAGGTAGCATATATAACGTCCAGCCCAGAGCTGTATATAAACACATCCTGCGATGGGTGAGAACTGGCTCATGGGTTGGGCACAAAGGGTTACAGTGAATGAGGTGACATCACTCTGGTGACCTGTCACTATTGGGGTTCCCCAGGGCTCCATCCTCAGCCCTGTGCTCTTCAACAGCTTCAGACATGGCTTGACTCAGGACTGGAAGGGACACTAAGCATGTTCCCAGGTGATACAAATCTGGGAGGGGTTGTTGACTCCCTCAGAGGGAGGGAGGCCCTGCAGAGAGACCCCGACAGATTAGAGATGGGCAATCATCAACCATGTGAAATTCAACAAGGGCTGGTGCCAGATTCTGCCCCTGGGATGGAGCAGCCCTGGATGTACAGACAGACTGGGCAATGAGAGGCTGGAGAGCAGTGCCATGGAAAGGGCCCTGGGGTTCTGGTCCATGGCAAGTTGAACATGAGCCAGCAGTGCCCTGGCAGCCAGGAGGGCCAAGCGTGTCCTGGGGGCATCAGGGACAGCATCAGCAGCCAGGCAAGGGAGGGGATTGTCCTGCTGTGCTCTGCTCTGGGGCAGCCTCAGCTCCAGTGCTGGGGGCTGTTCTGGCTGCCACAGTATAATGAAGTTATTAAAGTATTAGAGAGGCATCAGAAACTGAGAAGGGCCTTGAGGGGCCACAGGAGGAACAGCTGAGGTCACTTGGTCTGTTCAGCCTGGAGGAGACTGAGGGGAGACCTCACTGCAGTTACAACTTCCTTGGGAAGGGAAGAGGAAGGGCAGGCACTGATCTCTGTGTGACCAGTGACAGGATCCAAGGGAATGGCTTGAAGCTGAGTTAGGGGAGGTTCAGGTTGGATATCAGGAAAAGATTCTTCACCCAGAGGGTGGCTGGGTAGTGGATCAGGCTCCCCAGGGCAGTGATCACAGGACCAAGCCTGGCATATGCTCTCAGGCATATGGTGTGACTCTTGGGGTGATCTGTGCAGGGCCAGGAGTTGGTTGGACTTTTGAGACAGCTGTGTGTCCCTTCCAACTCAGCTTATTCTGCAATATGTATCATATGCTTACATACTATGTATGTATACCTTACTAAGTACTTCCTCCTGGCAATACTATGTTTGAATTATACCCTTAATTAATTCATCAAATAATTTTAGTACCAGTGGCTCTCTGTTGGTGTTTACTTGCATCTATCCATATACCTTTTCTTTTGCTTCTTATCCTGGCAGTGTTTGGCTGGAAATATGGATAAACCAGCTTGTCCTTACTACTACCACATAATGAAAAGAACATAAGAAAAAAGAACATGAACAGTAAGGAAATAGGGGAAGCAGATGACAAAACAACCAGGTAAAATACTGAAAATGTGGGAGAGTGAGACTGGGGACAAAAAAAAGAAAGGAGTGTGAGGGAGATCAGGAAATTAAAGGAGGATCAAAGGCAGAATGGTGTATACTTAAGTATATACTAAACCTTGATTTTTTTTTTTTTTAACAAAGGCACAAAAATGCCTGCTATGCTAAGAAAAGAAACAACAGGGAATATAGTACACAGAAGCTCTAAGGATCAAAAACCAGCAGAACAACACACATACCTTCAAATGATGCTGCGAGTACACAAATGGCAGTATATACAGAAGGCATGAGACTGTAGATAATTCAGTAATACTTCAATTATGTGCCCATGTAAAACATATTATTTTATGACACTGAAGATTTCTTTTTTAAAAAGAGCCATGCAGGTTTACTTGACAGAGACATTACTAGGACACTCACGTTTTGAATTACTTGCTGGGATAAGTAAAACTGATGGAGGAGATGCCCCAACGCTGTTACGGGCAATCAGAGTCACTTCGTAAGTTCCCTCCGGCAGCTGTAAGGTATGGTTGGTGCTGGTAACATTGTATTTCTTCACTGGAGCAGAAAGAGATGATTTATCTCTGACAGTCACTTCATACTGCAAGATTACTCCATTGGCTTCAAATGGCTTCAGTGCCTGTCAGAAACACATCTTTGATTAAGCTGATACTGAACAAATGTGATGTAATCCCTATTGTCCCTATGGCACAATTAAAAAATAGGAGAACAAGGCAAGTCCCATAGATCAAATACCTGAACATTTAAGAAAAGCATAAATAACCTGTCCACATTTCTATAAAGCAGTCACTTCCAAAGCCTATTTCTGGTTTAAATACTCTCTTTGATGATACCTAGTGATTTAAGAAAGGATTGCAAAACCTTTTGATAAAACGTCCATTTTATGTGCCTTTACAATACAGTGGCATAAAAGCAAATCTCACACCTTTGCTTGTGTTAATATGACAAACATGACACAGTTTATGGACAAAAGGAAAGCAGGGACTGGGGAGTGACTATAATTACATTCACTTTCTCAGCTGGACTAATCATCCAGTTGGACACAGCAGCCTTACTGCACACAAATGCCCAGTGATGTTTTTAATAACCTTGGCCTCTGCCGTACCTCAAGGATTAATGGATTTTGCAGCTGGGGTATCACTGTCCAGACAGTGTTGCCACGTCTTAGGGTACAGCAGAAAGCATGGCATGAAGCTATGCTTTGTTCAAGTGGCAGTTCCAAATCCAAAGAAGGACAATAAATGAGAAATGTGAAAGTATATTCTGTGTATTTTAGGTCACAGATTAATATTCAAGTCACTTCTCATATCAAAAAACCCTATACTATCCCAGCCATCTCTCAAGGCTGTTGGAAAGATATTTCCATTTAAAAATTCTTGTTTTTAAAAGAATGCTCAATTTTTGCAATTCACTTTACCTTCCATATTAGATGCACAGTCCAGCAAGCTGGTGAGTGAGATTTATCAATGATCCTCCATATGGGTGGTCCTTTAGATGGTTCTGATGAAACAAACAATGTTTGAGAGTAGAAGTATTTTTACTTAATCTGTTTGAATTCCTCCTTTGATTATCATTATATACTTACTTTAAAAAAAAAATATTAAAAAGCATTTCCTTAGTTTCTCAATGAAAATAATGCTTGGCTTATTAAGTGGAAAATTCCCTGAAGAGATAAGACATCAGATCTGCTTTATTTGTACAGTATCAAAAGAAGTATGAATCACAATGGTAGACATCTGCAAGATTGCACTCAAGGGGATAATACTGAGTGAGGCATGATCACACCTAGAGTGTACAGCTGCATCCAGAGGCACAGCCCTGCATACCTGCAAACCTTGCTACAGTCTGTATCCAATGCTATTCCTACCTCTCAGTATTAAGTTACCTAAAAAAAGGAAAGTGCACAAGAATTAACAAGGAGACATTTTTCCTGTCACTAAGACTCTTTAATTGTAAAAGGGTAACAGAACTGCAGTACTTTTGTACCCTACAGTACATTTTGGCATCTATACTATGAAAAAGTGGCATTTCCACAACAGATCCCATTTTAAAATAAAATGAACCAACCTTACAATATTTCCAAGTAAAGTGAACCAACCACTACTACACTGCACAAAGCAGTAAAAAGTGGTCAATCTTTTTCGAGGGTCTTAGCCCCAAGAGAAAGTTGATCTCAAAATGAATTATATCTTTAATCTGGTAAGACTTTCTTCTCAGAGTCCTTTCACAGCATTTAGTGCATTATGAGGTTTTGGCTTTTAACCTCAAACACCCCTCACTACCAAGTATACAGGGTGAATCTCATGTATTATGCTTTACATTGTGAGAAGAGAACTATGAATTGAGGCAAAGAGAGCTCTTTTACTTGTCTGAGTACCCAAATTTCATTCATATGAAAGAGAAGAAACTGTACATCTTGCCTAATAGAGACCATAAATCTAACATGACCTGTCTGATGTTTACTTGCTACTGTAATACCTTTATTCTGAGGATAAACTACGACACGGGTACTTAATATTAGCAGTATTTTTGCAAAACCAGTCACCATCATCAGAACAGCAATGCAACCTAAATAGGCAGGCAGTCCTGAAATCATCATTGCTCAACCTGAGACAGAAAACATAGAAAATGAAGTCATACTATCCTTAGGAGTTGAAAAGCAGAGACTAGAATATTGACAAATTTTACAGTATCTCCCCCAGAGAAAGTAAATTTTGCACAGAACTGAAGCAGTGCCATCATGGATACAAATTCCACTTGTTTCAAACAAAAACAGCTGTTCTAGCTGTTTTTAGGGAATACGTCTACATTAGGTTAATGGGAAGCTGCTCTCATGCTCCTTGGAATGCACAGGTCAAGTCAGTCTGTGCTGAAAAGTAACTCAGGAGAGCTTTGTTGCTTATACAAGCAAGCAGATCAAGCAAGGATACACCATTTCAGCTGGCCTTTGCCAAACTGCTGAGCACTCACACACTTTAGCAGTCAGTGACCTACTTTTATACATTACTTACGATCTTCAGTGGTAATCCCGATCTTTTCTTCACTCCAGTCACTCCAGTAGCCCATTCCATCTTCCTTCATACAACGAATGGAAAAGACATACTCTGTATAGGGTCTGAGACCTTGAACACTGAACGAAGTTCTTGGGGAAGCTGTATCTTCAGAAGGAACCTGCAAATGTGATGAAGACTTTAAACACTGATCAAAATACTGTAGAGCTGAGTACTACTGTACTACTTCAGCTATCATCCAAGAAGGCTCCCCACCACACACCTAAAACAAACAAGTTTTCCTTCTCACTCATTTCCAAAAACTTATTCTCAAACACTGTTTGGTAAAGGATCATGCATCTCACAATTCAGAACTTTGTTAGGTTACCTTCTTGATTACTGATTGCAAAATTATTGGTTACTATAAGTTAAAAGTCCAGGATCATTGCATCCACTGATACAGAACAGTGCTTCTTGAGTGAAACGGAAAATAGTTTTAGAATAGTTTATAGTTTTGCTAATAAATTATTTTCATAAGCTCTTTCATTTATGTTAGGCGAGCAACCAAATGCCAGAAAAACTATTCTTAGTATGTATGTAGGGAAGCAGGGTGGCATAGATAACGGACACAAGTAGGTACACACACTGACTCTTCACATTATTCCACTTGCAGCTAACGGCTTTTTACAGTGAGGACCCCTGCAAGGAATGACAGCAGATTAAACACAGATGCAGGACAGTAAAGAGGCTAATCCTGAGGGCAAAGAATTATCAAAATAGTCCAATTTTACCAAAGCTAATCAGCAAGTTCAGCTGATTTAAAAATCTACTATTTAATTTGTATAGTTTCTGTGAAATAGTTTCTGTGCATCTAAAGTCACATTAGTCACAAGGATGTATGTTAGGCTACCTGCTCCAAACAGTATTTTGGTAAAATCAGAAGCAGTCTCACGTAATTCAGAATACATTTGGGCCTCTGCAGGAGTACTACTGCTCAGAGAGGACTTAAAGTAAGGAAAACCTAAGGAGCTATTAAAAATGTCCACAGATTGATGTAAATAAAAGAATCCTACAGGTCTTGATGACAGGAAGATAACATAGTACATAAGTACATAGTACAGGTAAGGCTTACTCCTTACACTTTTCCTGTTTTTAACTGCCTCACACTTGAGACACATACACAGGGCAGCCAGATTGTACAGAATTACCCAACCATCTAGGTTGGAAGAGACCAATCATACACCTATCACTGTTAAATCCACTCCTGAACCATGTCCCTGAGTTTCTAAACACTTCCAGAGATGGTAGCTCTAGAGCTTCCCTGGGCTAATCCTTGACACTTCTCTCCAGAGGAATTTTTCCTCATAATCCAATATAAACTGTCCCTGGCACAGTTTGTGGCCATTTCCTCTTGTCCTAACTTGGGATGAGAACTTGTTACCTGGGAGAGCAGACTAACCCTGACCTCACTACAACTTCCTTTCAGGTAGTTGTAGAGTGATAACATCAGCTCCGAGCCTTCTTTCCTCCAGGCTGGGTAACCCCAGCTCCCTCAGCTACTCCTCCTAACACTGGTGCTCCAGAGCCTTCCTCAGCTGCGCTGCCCTTCTCTGGACGTGCTCTGCTCAGCACCTCAGTGTCTTTCATGGAGCAAGGGGCCCAAAACCAGGATTCAAGATGAGGCTTCACCAGTGACAAACACAGGTAGACAATCACTGGTCCTGCTGGCCACACTATTGCTGATCCAGGCCAGGATGCCATTGGCCTTCTTGGCCACCCAGACACACCCTGGCTCATGTTCAGTCACTGTCACCAGCACTGCCAGATCCTTTTCCACTGAGCTGCTTCCCAGCCACTCTGTCCTTGCCTGTGGCCCTGCCTGGACCTATTGTAGCCCCACTGCACAAAGAGTAAGTTCTAAAAAGCATCTCAGCATGGTACAGCATTTACCAAGCTTTGAATGACATTTATATCACTCATTCTGCACATACATGGGAAGATGAAAATTCATTTATTTTCTACACATTGCATTTGCAAAATAAAATTTAAAATAGACACACTGCACTGTGCCAGGGAGGACAGCAGAAAAGTCCACAAAGATACGAGAAGGTCACCATACTCAGACTGTGCCAAAAAATATCTAGATCACAGCCTTCATGAACAAGCTAGATAAACTTCCTTGGGTGGCCACCTAAGACACAATGAAATGAAAGTGAATGCTCTAAAGTGCAACAGAGGGAACTCCAGTTTGACAGATGGCTGGATTACAGCAGAATCATGGCAAGGGACATTAGTGATATTACCTCCATCCAGTTCGTGTCACCAACAATCCTGTAGCGAATATTGAATTTCAGCGTCATCACAGCATCTGAAATCCAATTCTCCCAGGAAAGCTTCAGAACAGTAGGTAGTACTCCTGAGCTGACTGATACATTCTGTGGAGACAGTGGTTTAACTAGAAGAGAAGAAGTTAAAGTTAACTCTGCTGCTCTACTTTACCATGCCTTTAGAAGTTGCCATACTACATTGCGACACTACTATTTAAGCCTTTCAGGACCTGAAATGGCTGCTACTTTACACTATGTTCTAAATCAGACTACTAAACAAAAAACTTGCTATCCGAATTGTGATGAAATCTCTCACCATCCCTATGTTTGCCCAGCACAGTTCAAACTCTACTTAACAACACTTATGCAGTGATAATTTTTATACTGAAGAAACATTAACATGCCAGTTCAGCAATATGCTGCAGAAGCAGCAGTAATTTTCTACTAAAGCTTTAAGGCGCATATAGTTACCAATGTCAATGGGATCAACAACAAGAGGATCAGATTCAGCCTTCCCAAGGGCATTTGTTGCTTCTACCCAGATCTCCGTGTTAACGAAGAACTGAATATCAGTAATGGTGCAAGAATTGTTTACATCTTTTGGTATACAGTCAGGAAAGATCTCCTCTGGCCTAAATAAAAGAGAAAGAAAAAATAAGATACAAAGCAGTAAGTTTGGTTTTCTTTAGAGAATATTTTTAAGTAGATCAGAGTGAGCAATCAGTTTATCTTGTATGTTTCCCCTCTGCCTTAACTTTGTAAGCAGAAAGAGGGGAAGTGGGAATGGCTTGTTCAGCCACAAATGTGTGATTGCATTAGAACTGAAACCAAAACAAAATCTCTTTACTTCCAGTCACGTATCTTCAAAAGCACAAGCAGGAGTACTGTAATTAAATTTGTGTGAAAACCTAACTTGGCTTAAAAAAGAAAAGAACTGATATAATTAACCAAAAGCAACATGGCCAGTAACTAGAACGAACTGGAAAACGTAGCCAGTGCTACCTGCATACCTTCCAAGAGCGCAGTGTTAGAGGTGCATTACATAATTTCTGTGCACCATCTTCTCCTACACTAACACTAGACAGTTCTAGAGGCATCAGAAAATTGGCAAAGCATTAACATTTTCTAACTGCAGATACTTTCTACTACAACAGTTACCAAAACACTTCAGCAGAATGTGGTAGCTGGAAACCCAGAGGAAATCATTCCTGTTTCCAGAGCAATGAAACAATCCTGTTCACTCAATTTTAAATGGAGAGAGACTATTTAAAGAGTTTGGAAATTAACTGAATTTGCTTTCACGGGAGAAAAACTTTGCTGAAGCTTTCATGTTAGGATTAATTCAGAACAGTGTTTGTCCACAGTTCTTATGAAGTACAGATAGATAATACCTTAAAAAAATTCAGTCATTTTATGTTAGTTTCTCTGCTTAGAATCATAGAATGGTTTGGATTGAAACAGACCTTTAGAAGTCATGTAGTTTGATCCTCCTGCAATGAGCAGGGATATCTTCTGCTTGTTTAGAACAGGCTAGAACTGTCAACCCAGGAAAGTGTAAAAGTTTGGGTACAGTCTCCTATTATTAGATGTACTGTAGATGTACTCAAGCCACACTAATCATGTATTTGAAGAACGGAAAAATATGAGGTAATTGTTACTCCAAAACAAGTTCATCAACAAAACTTCAAGTCTGACTTAGAATTACTTGAATGCCAACTTCTTTAACTCTTCCCTTCACACTCACATGACACAAACAGGAATGCTTCAAAAAACTGGACTTACGTTAAGAACTCTTCCAAAGAAATCAGGAATTTCAAGGACTGTTAGTTTAGCATAAAAATGTTCTTCAGAATTATTCAGATATTCTATAGAGCACTACTTACCAGCTGTATCTCAATCTGAACTGAGTATCCAGGAATGTGTGCCTTCCAGGGTTCCAGGTACAAGTCATAACATATGTGAATTTTGACATCTGATGCACAATGCAACTTAAGTTCTTGGGCTTCTCCGGGGCCACTGTACAGAAAGAACAAGCAATAATTAATCTATACACCCATTTCAATCCAGCAAGAATCCTTTCAAGTGTCCCACTAGAATGATTTCTGTGAATTACACAAGTATTTAATTAATTTTTTTCCTAAAGGATGTAGCTAAAAGTGCTGGATATCATCCTGCAACCAAAGTAAAGAAGCTTAAATAGCTGCTTTGACAAACAATAGGCTGTATAAGGATTAAGCACCTGCTAATAAGGAAAAACAAAAACTTCTCATTCTGAGGCAGAAAACCTTGCATTAACCACCTCTCATCTAAATATATTTTAACTCACACAGAAGAAAAATAAATTAATAACCACTATTGAATTGGCATTTGATGATTTTGCCAGTTACACCTGAGCTCTAAAGGCAATTTGACACCCAGCTGAGGTATGGAAGAAGTTTGAGCTGAAAACCCAAGAAAGCTTAAGGATCTTCACCAATGCAGTGCAGTGTGTAAGGAACTTGTCCAGAATGCAGCAAAACTATTTTCTTTCCCTCTTAAACTCAAATTATAACATACAAAGAGTTTGTTTCTACCTCCTATATTATCACTATTTACAACAGTATAATATACTTAGAGAATCTTACTTGCTTTCAAACAAAGTGTTAGTTTCAATAGAACAATATTATGAACCCTATTGCTTTCTTCCTGAATAACTGTATTCTTCTCAAGCCTGTCGCTAGCCTCATTATTTAGTTTAACTGACAGTATCAAAATACAATAGCTTTATATAAAAATGCATCTCAGGACTTGTAACATGAATTACAAATGCAGAATGTCATCTCTATTGTCACTAAGTTCATAATATTAGAATAATTTACCTGTCCTCACCTTTCCTTATGTTTTACCTTTTCAAAGTATTTTTTATTTTTTTCTTTTCTGGTACAATGTTTACTCCTCAGAAATTGAAATGGAAAACATTACTTTCCTGTGATGGCATTTTGTAAGTCATGCTAGAAGCATATCACTTTAAATTGTAACTCAAGCCAGCCTTCTGCATGCAGACCACTGAGCAACTGCAGTACCTTTTGCCACCACTAGGAGACAACATAAGTCATCAGTTGCATCATGCAGTATTTAGGACACTACAATACTCGTCCTATTAGCAGGGGATCAAGTAATTAAGAAGTAGCATATTATGTTATTCATATGACTTTCTCAAGACAGTCTTGTCTAAAAACACTTTGTCTGAACCATGCAAGTGCTATCATTCTATAATAAATGAAGTTTATAAGTAGTTAAAAGCTTTTCTTATTTTCTGTTTTCTTAGGTATAGAGGTAAAGTAATCCAAATATGTCCAATCCTTAAGGCAATTCATATTAGCTTTAGTGATACAGATGGACTAAATGTTACTCAGTCCATTAATGAAGAAAACATTCTTTTCAAAATGTTAGTATGAAACCAGGACACATCACCTAAAAGTATTTCCTCCAACTCTGATACAGAATCAAGAAGTAAGGAATAATTAATTTCCTACTTTATATTTCAGTTAAATCCTCATCTTTATTCTGTAATTCAAATCTGCTGCTTTTTGTTGTTCTATTTTTCCCTCTATTTCAACACAAATACTCCAGAGCATTTCCTACTTTTTATAAAACTTTATTCAGTACATATTGAGCAGCTGTGTTGGCATGTATTTTGACAATATTTTTACTCATTTATCCAGGAACTGAGGGAATAAAAATAAGTGCCTCAAGATATACACACTTTCTATTATTTGCATTTTCCCATTTCTCAGAAACAATTTTCTTAAGACCAGAATAAAATGTCAAAAAATGGTACTCACAGCCTACTGTAACCGTAATTCCATAAATGTTCTGTTCAATATGTCCATCTGCTAAAATGTTGCATGTCAGAGGAGTAGCTAGTGAGGAAGTGTCATTGAATGTGACACTGGAAACTGTTCTGTTTATTTCACGATACTGTTCTTTAGGTACCACTCTATTTTTAATCTTCCAGATAATCTGACTGGCATAGATATTGCCAAAGTCAAGACAACTCTCATTCAGAATGCATAATGCTGTGAAATTGGAACCAACGGCCAGTACAGGTGACTCTGGGATGATGTGACCACATGATTGCACAAGTCCGCCCGAAGCTAAAAAGAAAACAAATTTTACATTTATTAAAAACTACACAACATTCACAATCAGTATTGCTGATACATCCTTAGTGCAATGTTAAAAAAACTACGTTGTGTCTAAACAGCAACTTAAGTAGTTACTTGACAATTATAAAACTGAAATGCATTACTAGATCACAAAGATTTAAGGGCAAAAACCAGTGTAGTGTTCTTTAGGCTTTGCAAAAACATTTTAACCAAGCTAGGAAAGCTCTATTAATAAACAGAGGCACTTTAAAAAGAGAGAGAGGAGAGTCAAGGGTTGGGGTTGCATGTTTAGATCTTTTGAAGAAGGAAGTTATTATACTTGAGGTTATTCTTTTGAGAAAAAAATATTTTCTGTTAAGAAAGTTATCATAGGAAATCGGGTAAGTGTGCACCTCTGTTGTGGTGAACTAGTGTTAGAAGATTTTCTGCCCCCATCCAACAAGTATCTAGACAAAAAGCAAGCAGGTGCTTCAAACATCCAATGTAACTAGTTTATAACTTCTTGTATTTGAGACAAAAACTCTTACCATCAGGAGAACAAATATTCAACACCAGATAGAAGCCACAGGCCACCCAGCTCCACCTAGAAAACATCCTGCACAGAACTTCTGTAACAAGGAAAGAGACATTTTAAAATTTTAACTGTTACTCTTCACTTTAGATCAATGTCAAAATCAGATTTGTATTTGCTCTAAGATAATTTCTCACATATACACATTTATTTTCCTGGAAGCGTTTGTATTTTCTCACATTAGAATGAGCATATTGTTCCCATTTTCCTCGCTGCTAAAACAAAATCAAATGTTTACTTAAAAATACCGAGGCTGTTTAAAGCTGCCTTAATTACAATTTTAAGAAATGTGTCAGCTTTAGGTTTTCACACTGTATATGAAAAAAACTCTTCACTAGTAACTCTACGGGAGGTTCAGTTAGACTAGAGTGCAATACAGTAATTCAGGTTTCAAAATATAACCTTATGAATTTAATTATGGTTATCATACGTACCTAACTTTCAAGGGCACTGATACGAAAGCTTCAGACAAGGTTCAGAACAACTCACCACAAAACTATGTGTCTTATTTACAAGAGAAACTTAAAATACATTCAGGAATTACAAAGCACAATTCTTCCGTATCAAGAACTGTTGTCTACTATTGAAAAAGTACTAATTAATTCTTCACATTTTACAAAGGACCTTGCAATTCCCCAAAAGCTGGAGTACATTTTACAACACTGTATGTATTTCTGTATTGCAACAGAGCCCACTTGTTTTCAAATTCTGACATTTCTACAAAACACTTTAGAGAAACTGAAGGATTCACACAGCAGCTTCCATCCCCATTGTTCTGAAGCCACTAAGTCTATTCTGTTTTTTTCAACTTATAATTTTAAAGCAGCCCTAAACTACTAAAAGCAAGTGACCATTCTCTACTAAGCATATGAGCTATATTATTTTTAGCTACATGTAGGCACCTTTACAGGAACAGGTAGATTGGCTTAGTGAAATAAGGCATTTATTTCACAAGCTGATTTCTAGAAGCAGACTTCCTACTATTCTTACACCTAGAAACTAAACATAGCCTCTTTAGGTTTACTAAGATTTGAGATGAGATGGCTTACAGTTTCTAAAGTCTTATTTTCCACTAACATGACAGAACTTCTTTGGAAACTAGCATTCTGAACTTCACCCCATAAAAGGAAACTCACTAAAAATTTTAAGGGAATTCCACAATATTCCCTAGACAAGAAAATTAATAAGCTACACTTACTATTATCAAAAGAAACTGCAATTTATGACAGTAAACATGCCTTTGCTTTGATTGCATGTAATTTACTTTAATAGCGACAGAAGGACACAAGGCATTTCACATGTATAAACAGAACTAGACAGACATTAAAGCATGGATCACTACCAAGCCAGAACCTCATTCCTTATACATCAACACAACTAAGCCGTTTTTCCTTTACAAATCAAGATAAGCAGTGTAATGTAAAGAAAATCTTTATTCAAAGGAACAACTTAATGAAAGCAGATCTCAAACATTAATAGCACTCTTTTTAGGGTTTGTCAACCTAGAAGTCTTTCAGTTAAAACTAAAATAAAAGCCATCAGAATTACCCAGCAGTATCTTCATTTGCTTCTATGCCTGTGAATCATTACTCAAAGCTTACCAAAATTTCCAACCCAGAAACTTTATAGCAGAAACATAGTGATTGAAAAACTTGACAAATATATTAACAAGCATCTGTCACAGGAAGTTTGTTGCTCTGTTTTTGACTAAAAGACAAGTCATTTGTCATCAGACTGTAGCTATATAGCACTGAGAACCAAAAAGCTATTATTTTTTTCTGTGTTCTACTGAAGTACTCTCACTGGGCTAGATATAAAATACACTTTATACTGCTTTAAATGCAATGTGTATTTGGATATTTATTACAAGAGTACAGTAAAATAACCATATCAATTGATCCTTGCTTTTTTTGGAAGTAAAGCTTCCAATATCTGAAAAATAAGGTTTCTAATCCACACATGAATTTCAACATTTAAAAAAAATCTCAACCACTGTAAATTTTTTTAATAAATTATCATGGTGAATACAACCAAGCTCTAAAGAGTATTCTCTTTTAGCTGAAATCTCTAGATAAAACGAGTGCAAAGGGATCTACTTTAATGACTGGACTTATGTTAACACTTAATAGAATACTGCTTGTTAATCAAAGCCTATTGAGCTCTACTATGGATAGACCTTAAGATCTGTTATTTCAAGCAAGATTCATTAAATTATTTAATGAGTACAATCTGAGTTGCAAAAGGTCTGAAATTCATCAGAAGCCTGAGGGCAACTACAAACTAGGTGGAAAGAAGCAGGAGCTCTGCTCCACTGCTAATTGCCAAAACAACAGAAACGACTTTGCTTCTGCAAAACAACAGCAGAAGCACCTTTCACACTGAAAGATAAAGAATGAAACAGATGTTAAAAAGGAAGTTTCTAAAATGTTGTTTAATTTCTCTCCCATTTGCTATCATGATTCATGCCACCTTATAATAACTGCAGGTCACCTAAGCTATTACATCACTACAAAGTTACTTGTTTTCTTTTGGATTTGTTTCCTTTTATTTATTAAGGTCAAACAACTGATTTTCATGCCAGCAGTTATTAAGTACGGCTCAAGTTATTAAAATCATTTTGCAAAGCAACTGAAAGAATAAATAAATAAAAAGCAATAACCACCTTAATAAGTAAACAATAATACATAATTATCACACATTTAGTCCTAAACAATGATTTTTCACTGGAAATTAAAATTAAATTCCTATCTATTCATATAAATGCCATTTCTATATTCAACTGTCTTCCAGACTTGAAAAACAGCATTTCAGTTGTTCTACGGAGATTCATTCACACATGAGAGACTGAAGTTCAAATCTCTACTACTCTGCAGGTTGGAAAGTTTAGCAATTGTTTTGAGAGAGCAGATAAGCCCTCCACAAATCACACTACTCGATTCCACTACAGTCAGCCCCTGAAAGGCAAGAAAATAGAGCTTCATGCTCCATCATCTGCAAAACAGAGTTAAGTGGAAAGCCCACCCACCTACTGTATGGGAACCAAGCAGCTGAAACTATAAGCCATGTCACAAATAAGCATATATCTGCTTTAGGCTGTTCTGATGTATTTTACTTACCCCCACCCCCTGCTGATCAATGCAGTTTGAAGACAACTGAAGCTACACACCTCCAAACCCACTAAGGGGCTATTACAATCCCTTCTAATGTGTGCTATTTTAAAAACATTAGCGTCTCTGGCTTTTACAAGACTGATTCTTAATTGAACTGTAGTTCTAGAGGAAAGATCCAGAGTTACACTAGACACTTCCATCCATCTTGCCTACATGAAAGCCATAAAAGAAATGAAAAAACTAAATAAATGGTGGGAGAAAACTAACAAATCAAGGACTCACACTTCATATTAGAATGGGCAAGATATTCCTATTCAAATTAGTGTTTTCTTATCTGAGAGTATAAAAATGCTCAGGTGGAGATAGTGTAGAAACCTGGCATACAAGGTACACCAAATCTTAGAAGAAAGTGCCATCATTCAACAGTAATGCTAAACACTAATTGCTCACCATTAACAACTTTAAGTCAGACTAAGCTGTTAGTCCAGACAACAGAAAAGTCAATAATTTCTTTCAGTCACTATGCACAGCTCAACCCAAGTTTTATGTTTTACTGACTGGTACAGTATATATTTATCTGAGGTGAAAGCTGAACCTGATGCTGAACGAACACCGAAACATCCAGTCAGTTCAGATGCCTTTTATTAAAAACAAACAAACCAACGAGCCAAACTTTTTATCTATACTGTGCAGTTGCTGTGGATCACTAAGTGAAGAGGCATGGGAGACAGAGGAAGAAACTGACTTTAGAAGTTTGCCAGGCTCTTCTCATGGTTCAGTGGCTAAAGATCAAAATTCATCATTTTACTAAGTAAAGCCAACATGCTAAATTTAAAATGCTGCTGGTGACAGTCCTTAATTGACAGAAAATAAATTATCTCAAAGAGGAAAAATCTGTTAAAATACTCTGATCATTTCTGTAAAGACAGGCTTACAAAACTCATACGTATGAAATCACCCCATTTAATCTCCAAATCAAATGGGACTTCTATTATTCTTCACATCCTGCAGCCATTTTGAAAGAAAAGCATGATTATGCCTGATCTGTAAATTGATGCTTCATGCAGTGTCTATGAAAAGCTAATAACAACTGTAAAATCAAACCTTATAGGCACAAAGTAGCAACAGTGCTGAGTTTTAAGATCAACCTGTGACTAACAGTTTATGAACTAGTATCAGGTTTTCATGCAAAACAGGTATCACTACTTATTCTGAGGAAGAGAGAAATCTTAAAAATTAATCTTATAAATCTTATTTCATAAATCATGAGAGCTGCCCCAAAATGAACACAACGATATGTCATTTTATAATGGGTTATCTCTCCATTTCAGAGATGTGGCAAGTCCTGTCCAAGTGACCTACAAATCACAACACCAGTGTAAGAAACTATAGCTGAAATAACAGATACTTGTCAGCAAAGCCAGCTTGGAAATCAGGAAGCATAGATAACACCACAACGACCACAGGAAGGTGTTCAGTCTGTTAAGGCTCATCATCACATCAATCACAAGACAACAAAGGCTGCGGGAAAATGGATTTCCAGAAATGCCTCCAAAAAAAAAGTGAAGACCTATGTTTACAGCCTCAAGAGGTAATCTGCCACTAGAAATCCACATAGCTCAGGCAGACAGAGCCAGGGATGCTTCACAAAGCAGCTGCTGCTTGAGGTTTCATAACAAGCCAGACTGTACTTAAAGCCATCTAAAAGCTGCAGCTATCCTCAAGGAATTTTGATTACTCAAACAGTAACTGCTTTCTAATTAAGCGTATTTCACCGGCAAGCTTCCTTCCTTCCTCCAAGCTTACTTCCGATATTTTTTTCCTGTATTTATGAGGCTCAAAAAACACCAGACATCTCCAAGAGAAGCACTTGAAAATATTATGTAACATTATACGAACAGCATATTCTGAAATACATTTTCATATTTAAAAATCTCTACATACAAATGACATCTCTATCCCTTTCACCATCTAAGCAAGTAATTTCTCTACCTTACTTATTCCTCTGCCTCTACAAGGAAGCTTATCCCTGGAGTTTTAGTAGAGCCCTCAGAATAAAAAATAGAGAGAAAAAAAAGAAGATCAAAACAGGTACACAGTTTAAAATTACTGAAATACCAAATATTTGCTTGCAATAACTGAGTTCTTTCTGGTATCTTCTTACAACTGTAAATCAATTTCTCTGAAGTACTTCAGAATTTCCTCACAGCTAGTAAGTAGTTTTAGTCCAAAAATCAAATTAATTCATACAAAATAATGTCCTAGCACTCTGTGTTCTCATTTTGAAATCAAACCTTCCAAACGGATCATAAGCAGTGCTGCTTCCCTGATCTAGACAATTCTTGTTAATACAAGAATAATTGATGAAAAAAAATAGCCAAAAAGTTGATTTAATTTCATATGATTGTGCTAGTGCTAAGCCTCCAGACAAACAGCAGGGGAACAGTATCTCCATTTGGTCTACTCACTTATAGATGTGCATCTATTCTTCTCCTCAGCCAAAAATGTTTGTCTATTGACTTTACTTGAATCACCACGTTTCCAGACATATAAACAACATCCAAATAGTTACTTTGAATGCTCAACTTCTAGGAAGTAATCTCAAAGTTTAATCATCCACTCTTACATTCTTATTGCGCTACACTAACATATAGATAAAAATATCTGTTCAGAAGTTACATGTTTTGAACAGTGTATTTTATGTAATTATGCCTCTGAAAGTAACAGCATACAGGAAGCATAAATACTGTTTTTTTAATAAAAAAGAGGGTGAAAGAAATAAGACCTTAATTCCCAATAACAGCCAACCTCTTTAAGTTGTGGATTCCCTTTCCCCCTCCACCCCTCTGTGATCGGATCACTAACGACAGAACTATAATTCCACATAGCTCTACTACCTGTTCGTAGAACTGCAATTGTGTGTAGAACTACGCCTTCAAAATGCCTCGGCCATAACAAGCAGTAACCAGCTGGCAAATCCCTAGTCAGCCTAAAACAAGCATGAAAACTGAGACTGGGAATTATTCCCCTCAATTCTGCCAACACACTTGGCAGACTGCTTTCCTTTGTGCCTCAGTTTCATCATCTGAGAGATGAAAATAATGGTGCCTTTTTTTTTTTTTTTTTTAGGAAAAGCATCAGAGCCCCATTACAGGGATGACTGGAGCTCAGGAACACATGGGAAGTAAAAACTGTACCCGCTCCTCCCTAATTCCTCAGGGAATCCCCTCCACTACTTGGATCAGCAATAAGACGAAGCGTGCATATCTTCCAGGGCAGCAGTTTTCTACCATCTACAGGCAACAAGAACAGACCACTTGTGGTGACAGCAACAAAACGCAAATCTTTTCATCAAGGAAATGCCTGTCGGTAGCACAGCCACGCTTATCTGTCGAAAAAGCCGAAAAGGCGCGAGTCCTGCGACACCTTTGCCAACTCCGACGGCCGGCACTAACCACCAGGACTCCGGGAAGCGCGCAGATAACCTTCAGCCTGACCCTCCGCGCCATGCCGGGGGCAGGGCTGCGGACGGGGCACGGCCGAGCGGCCCTGCCAGGGGCTCCGCACCCCGAGGCGCCACAGCGAGCGGCCCCGGGCGAGGCCATGTTGCGCTCTCAGCGTCACCGCCAGGCAGCTCCGCCGGCGCCGGCAGGCTAGACGAGACGAGACACCGCCGCGGGGCACAGCTGGCCACTGGTCCGGGAATCGAGTGGCGCAAGGCTGCCGTCCACCCGCCCACTCCGGCCTGTCTCCCGGCCAGCCCTGAACGAACGCCCCTGTGCCCCCGCCCGCGGCGCACGGCCCGGAGGGAAAGGACGGCCCAGAACGGCCGCCGCCGGCGGACGCCCCTCAGGGAAAGGACGCTGGGGAGGGGAAAGGGAGCCCCGCACACGGCCGCACACCCCAGTCCTTACCCGGCGTCGCCGCCCGCACTCCGCGGCCGCTGCTCCTAAATAGCGGCACAGCCGCCTCGCGCCATCGCGCGGCCGTTCCGCACGCGCGGCCCCGCGCCCGGTCACGCTCCTGCCCCGCCCCAGCCCCCGCGCGCCCTTCCCTCCTCCTCCACCCACGTCGCCATTGGTCCGCGAGACCCGTGACGTCGCCGAATGGGGGGCGGGGCTGCAGGAAGGGGCGGGGCTTCCCGTAACGCGGCGGCCGGTGCCAGGATCCCGGGGGCGCGGGGGCCGCGCGCGGGGGGCGGGAGCGGCGGTGGCGGCGGCCCTGAGGGAGGCGGTGCCCCACCCCCGCAGCGCTCCAGCCCGGCCGGAGGCCGTGCCCGAACGCCCCCGCAGGGTTCTCCTGTCAAGGTGTGTTCTAGCTCTGGGCGGCAGCCGCCGGACGCCCGTCTGAGAACAGCGGGATCCTACCCGGGCCGCTGCCGGCCAGGCCTCTGGAAGCTTCTCCTGGCCCTTGCCCGCCCGGGCCTCCGCGAGCGGCGCGGGGGGGGTGTTGTCCTGAGCAGGCCTGGGGAGCCAGCGGCCTTCCCGGCGTTTCGCAAGACTCCCTTGGGAGCACGGGCGGCTGGAGAATGCTCTTGTCAACAGCTGCGGTGTGAGCAAAGCGCTGCGATCCAGAGCAGTCTCGATATTTCAGTCCCTGAAAATCGGTCAGAATCGGTCAGAATTCTAGTCCCTGAAAAAGGTGGGAGGCTAGGTTGCTAAGGAATGGTCCTTAATATATATCATTAATATGATCATGACACAGCTTATCCTTGGACATTTCTTCACTCAGTAACTCTGAAAAATTACTTTTGTAAATCAGACAGAATCATGTGCTCTAAGATGTTTTCTTCATTTCAGATTATTTTTTTTTTAAATTCATGAGTAAGAAAGAGCACATTTCAGTGCCACGCCTCAAACTTGGTGCTGAGAGTGTCAAAGGATGCTGTTCCTAGTGAGGAAAGTACCAGACATCACTGATGCATGCCTGAGTTTCTTCCTGCCAGTTGTAGGATATGAGGTATATTACACTTCTAGTTACATTTTAAGATGAGTAGGCAGATTGGCTAGATTAAAAAGACATCTACCTGTTGTACCTGTTTCAGGCACTGGCATGAGCTGCTAATAAAACAAGATTTGGAACTTTGTAAAACGACAGTGGAACATAGTCTGTTTCTCATGGATTTGGTACCAGTCTCTGATTATGCTTGGTCTCAGATATATTGGCTTAATATCCAACAAAAATGTTGTTCCTAATTCTGAAAAGATTGTATTTTTTCTATGCAACAGAGTAAAGCTGGATGGACGCTTTAAAATGGTCATTTAGTTGCTCTGCTTTCCTAACAACAAAATTGTCTGTACTTACATAATTTCTGATAGGTATTTATCTAACGTCCAGATTGAATTTATTACTTTATGTCCCTGCTTGCACCTGTTGTAACCTTAGATACTCTAGATACTGCTGTTTTTTCCCACTGGTGGTCTCTACACTCAGTGGACTCAGTCCTTTCCTCGTACATCCTGTATTTTCTCATACAGGGCTTTTGGTGTTCAAACCCTTCTTAAGATACCAGGACGTTTTTTCAGTACGATAAAAGCATTACAGTGGGTCACTTTTGCTTTCTCAACAGCTAATGGTTAGTATGTATGTTTACATTAATTCTGGGTTACAGTTTGAGACTATACAATTACAGTTTGATTGTGTAATTGGTAGATTTCAGTGTGTATGGATATGCTTGCTTCAGCATCCTCAAAAAATCAGTGTTTGGCAACAAAAGTTGAAGTGGAACCAGGCTCTAACTAAAAGGACTGAAAAAACCCGTTTTTTCTCTTGTTTTAGCATGTATTCTGTCTCTTGTAAGATCACTTGAGTTGTGCTGCTAAACAGACATTCCAGAAGTAAGCACTTCACTCTCCTCCCTCCCCCAGCCGGCAGAAAGCCTCTTATGACATTCTTATTCTGAAACCCTATAGCCTAAAGCGATTCCTGGTATATTGCCAGAACTTGTAGAACAACCTCCCACCTCCCTTCAAAACCAGTCCTGTGGCAGGCTTCACTTACATACGACATGCATTGCAACTCTTCAAATAAGCAAGATATTGTGTATTTCACAGACTATTTATGGACTCAGTGTAAAATTATGTGTATATATGAAGTTGTGTAGAAAAACAAATAATTTTTTTGCAACAGTACTTAATTTTTCAGTATTGGTGCAGAATACCGTATATTCACTAACAATTTAGTTGCCCAAAGTCTGATTGTTCTTAGACACTAGCCATTTTCTGGTGCAAACAGGCAGAAAGTTAATAGCATTACAAGTGCCACTGGATAGAATGAGGATATTTAGGATCCCTGGTAAAGAAGAGAATTAAGCCGTTCAGGCGTGTTGTGAAGTGCCTTTTCTGTACATGGATCATTTCCTGGAAGGACTCTTTAGTTTGATTTACTGCCTCTTCCCTACTGAGGCATGGCTTTATACTGTACTATATATGTAGTATAGTACTGGAATATGGGAAATATAAACACCAGTTATTTAAACTTTCAAATACTGAGAGAAATGAAAAATCCTGACCACATTTTAAAAATGTTCCTGCCAGCTAGCATTTTAATCTGTACATTGAATAAAGCATTATATGAAATGTTTATTTTATATATTATGTATTTTATTTATTATATTATATAAATGTTTATTTATATATTTAGTTATATATTTATATAAATATTTTTATAGATATATTTATGTATTTAGATGTTTGGTCATATATTCCCTAAATATATGAGGCAAGAATAAAAGAAAGCTACTTGTCAGGAATTGGAAGGTCTTTGATAACAATTACCCTCTTCTTATTCACTCTGCAATTTATATTCCAACATAGTCCTCACATCAGAGCTGTATAGGATATTTCCAAGCTCATATGATAAACAGTTAAGATATCAGTCAGTGAAGCATGCTTTCACATCCTCTGCTTTCTCAGTCCCAGGAAGGAGATAGCATGGACGTGTAGAGATGGGCACTGACACTTGAAAAACCTGTAACTGTTGACAAACGTTGATAGCTCTTCAACTGTGGGGGCAGAGATTTTTTTTGGAGAAGATATTAGAGATTGCTGAGGAATAAACTTGTACCACTCTATGGGTATTTTTAGCAGTTTTGTAACAAGTTGGGAAAAGTGTGCAAAATCCACTGAATCTTTCAATAGGTGAGCCACAGAGAGGAAAAATCATTCTGGAATGTTTTATTATCTTGGTATAAGGACATGGAGCATCCTATAGATGCATCAGAGGTGTGAAAAGATTCCTCACTCTGACTACACGTGGGTTTTTTTCAGTAATGCATCACTCTCAGAACAGGGAGGTTGGGAATACTGTCATAGTAAGGGAGAAGCTGAACAACACCGCCCTTTAATGGCAATGTTCTGACCCATGCCAAGATATTTTCTGTGAGATGGGTGAATCACTGTATAGAACTATTTGCCTGAGAGGTTCAGTGAACCATTGGAGCCGCTTGCCAAAGTTGTATCACTTGTATGATGTTGTATCACTTCTCCTGAGCTTTAACTTAGGATCTCCAATGTCTGACATTCTTTAACATGAAGTAGAGTCACTTTATTTTTTCCTCCTTTGGCCTGAATGGTCACAACAGTAGCAGACTGTTGTGTTGAAGCCACAGTCTTGTAGGTCATAAAGTCATAGTGAAGTCCTCTCAAGAGGTAGGGAGGAGACAGCAGCAAGGAAAAAAATGGCTGATGTAACTGTTGGAAATGATTTAGTGACAGTTGCAGCACTTCACAGCCTTTTAACTTAGCAGACATGAGTAGCTCAGTGGCAGCAAAAAATGGGCTTAGTAATTGATTACTCCGTCTTGAGGGAGATGGGAGCATATTGCTTTCTTTCGACAGCAGGTAGGTGTTTGCAATTTGTGTGACAAACGAGTAAAGTTCACTGAGCCACAAGCAGCCGTTATGGCAACCTTGTGTGTACAGCTGGGTGCTTGATGGCATCTCTTTACAAGGGAATGAATGATGCATGTTGCAACAGGACAGACCTCATTCTTTTTAGCATTGCTGGGCCCAGTGAAAGGGCATAAAACCTGACACTGTGGACAAGACCTTGCAAAATTCAGCCAGGGTCTGTAGAGCTTCGCCAGGACTTTAGAACTTCAGGAGAATCTTGTGATCATTGGAAGAAGCTAGGAATGGGGATAGCTGACTTCACATGTGATATGCTTGATAGGAAAGCTTTGGATTGCTGAAGAGGGCTTGACCTAGTTCTTTCATTCTGATCCTCAAGAATAGGAATGGTAACACCATGAAGCTGCAGCATCAGTAGGGCATATAGAACAGAAAGGAGATTGGTTATAGCACACTTTAAATTAATGGCACATCTAATAGAGCAGTGTGGAACCTAGCAATCTACTTGTTTTTTTATAGTGAAAGACACAGAGCTAATGACATTTAGCCTAGACTGGAAGTTTTGACTGATAGAACATGTTGCTAGGGGGTGTTTTTTATGAAAAGATAGTCTGTAGTAGGATAATCAGAAAAAAAAAGTGGTCTGGTCTTCACTGGAGAAACAAGACCAAAAGTGAGATTAGAAAAAGGAAAACAAATATGACATTTCAGAAGATAAAAATGTAAAGGATTAAATTATCAAATGTGGAAAATGGTTAAGTCAAAATGAGCAATGCAGTTCACTGAGAAGAAATGCTCATTCAGAGCTAAGGTGAGGTGGAGGTGTTAAGCTGCAGTCTCTTACACCATATGGGAGAGCTGCCCATGAACTCAGTATGCTTTTGGCAGCTGCTGGAACTAAAATGCCTTTGGACTAATTCTGTGCACATAGACCAGAAGTGTCCTTAAGGCCGAACTCTTGGGCAGTGAATAAGACGACCCAACTAAGAGTAACAGAAGATGATTACAAAGAAAATGATGTCTCAGATTGACTGAAATTGTGTTTCCCACTTGGCCACAAAGATTTTCATGAGCAATATAACCAATTAAAAATATGCCAGAAAATATAATTTAGTACTT